GGCACCTCACAATCTCAACCAGGGTTACTTATGGATTTACGCAGTCTTGGTCATGATTTTTATTGGGTCATTAAGCCTTTATGAACCGAGCTTGACATTAGGCTTTTTTATTCATGATTTTACGTGTAGACGCTAATACAGACACATACTCAAGTAAGAGTATAATGTCCGATATGAAGGATAATTTGCCAAATTATTCTATATATATCTTTGCCTATATAAGATATAAGATAGAGCCGGACACTCTTCTTGATCTAGTGTTAACTTGAGAATTAAAAAGAGTCATATCTCTAATGACGTCCTTCATATGATGGATGAAAGTTCTATCCGTTTTCACCCCAAACGAGATAGGATGTCTCGTGGACTGCGTCAATCTGAACGCTGTATTATAACCAAATGGTTGCAGTTTAATGGGAATCAGGCGTTGTCTTCTGGTGTGATTGGTCTTTTAATCTCTTCTTCATGTACTTTCATACGAAATGAAAGTATACCTAACGTTACCTTAAAGTAAACAATTTATCCTCATATTTTTCTTTTCTTTGTCTCCTCATAAGTTATTTTGAGCCTACTTCGGTTTCGCATTACAATGCTGTTTGTATGATCATGACAGATTCTCCGTTATCTTCATACCCCTCAGTTCGTGAGGTTGACATTTCTATAACTTAATCTCCCTATGTCGCTTAAGCTTACTTAAGGACTAATGGTTAAATTTTCCCACTATAAAATGTGTAGGCTTCATGATGTTGCCTTGCCTCCCAACAGGAATGCCAATTCAAACTGGACTGCAATTTTGACCACCCAAGCCTCATCAGCACCCTTAGCTGGGCGTAATGCCTGGTTGTGAATATCGTGGTTTTGTTAAAATCCAACTCCCCTACACTGTTACGGGTTTCAGTGGGTCACAGGGCAGATGTGACATTAAAATGAAGCCTTCTTTTATTAGGAATATATGTCTTATTACCTCATATTTCCTATATCAATAAAACCATAAGCAGAACCCCAAAGCTTTGTCGGATATATGAAGACCAAGATGGTGTGACTCAAAGCTTTGTGTTTTTCTTACCTGCAACTTCCGAATCAATAGTCTTACTTAACTAGGCATCTATTCTACTAAAAATGCCTCCCAAGTTTATGTAATACATGGTGAAAATATTCATTAACACTAACTGGATGGTCAAAGTTTATTAAGTATTTACTTCGTGGAGGAAATGTATCCGTAAAAGAGCTAAAATGTCAAATTCAGAATGTGAGGACCAGGGGATATGATAGCACTTCATTATATCTGATCGCGGTTGAAACTAGTTTCAATGGATTAAAAGACAAGACAATAAAAGGTAGTGGGATTTTCAAGTATTCTCTTCATATGGGTAATTTCTTAATGTCTAAAAATGGCCATGGATTTGTTTGATTTATTTACATTTTTTACATCGCTATATGCCTAACCTGGCAATTGTTTTCAATATTACTCACCTTTTAAGATCCCTTATTAGAATGACTATCTAAACATCTTTTATCAGTGATAGGCCCGAGGCCATTTTAAGATCAGGCCTTTTTGATATAGCTTGCTATTCATCCAGACCTTCAATTTATTTCTTTTATTTATTTACTCGTTTTACTCTGTATTCATTTACCACCTCAAAGGTAGATACTTTTTAAAGCGAGTGGATGAAGTCGACTCTTCACCAGGCTTCTCCACTCGACCTGGACTAGCCCCTTTGGAGGTACGCAGTGGTCTATCTCGAGGTGGCGGAGTAATATCTACCTCCAGTGCCAGATCTGGAGCCGCTACGGCACCGATCAACGCCGGCAATGCAAACTGTAATAGTAGCAATAGCATAGGAAAGTCGGCAGC